AGAAAGCATGCATATAGTAGAAATTAACTAAAAATCATGCTAATCGTAAAAAAAAAAAAAAAAAAAAACAAGCTAATAAACTCAAAATTACTCAACAATTCGCTAATCTCTACAAGTCGAGTTTCTTATAACTCTAGAACATTTTTCTCGAACAGGTGATAATACATAAACAATAGTATGCGAACGTACCACATAAAATAGACTCTAGTAATTGAATGTACCACAAAAATAGAATGATAAATCTTTAATCAGATATAGGGCGACAAATCGCAAGTCCATAGATAATGCAATCAATCACAAGTCCAAAATTAGTACGATGAACCACAAGTCTAAAATAATACTTTCACCTGAACAAATAGAATCTCGAATAAAATGTAGAATGACATAAAAATTGTTGAAAAAATTATGATAAACTGAAAATTTTGAGGCATATTTTCTATTGGTAAAGGTGAATATTCGAAATGAATTTATTGACTCATATTCTACTTCATGAGATCTTTACACTGATATCTCATATGTTCAAAACGATTAAGTGATGAATAAGAAATTGATGTTTAAAGTAGGGTACATGTGAATTTTGTTGTGTAAAGAAAATGAAAAATCCATATCCCACAATGAAAAATCGTTCTTATGCTCTTACTAAGGAACATACTTTTTAAATATATATATATATATAATTCCTCTAGATTTCGGTGATGGGCTCAGTCAATATATAGTTTGGGTTATTTATTTGTAATTTTTAATTGTGCATGATTTCGAGTAAATTACAAAAAAAAATTATGTGTCAATTTTGATAAAAATATAATTTTCAGGGCTAAATTGAACAAACATAAAATCTTAAATTAAAATTTGAATAAATTAAACAACAAGCATGGATGAGGGATCAAATCAAAATAATTATAAAATATGAAGTTAAAATTAATATAAAAATATACTAAATTGCATCAATTTAAAAAGTTGACGAACAAACATTTATAAGATTCGGTGATTATGATACGATTGAAAAAGAAAGCCTGCACATAGTAGAAATTAACTAAAAATCATGCTGAATGCAAAAATTAATCAAAAAAATAAGTAGAACATAACAGATGCAGACTTAACTAAAATGATATATAAAAATACAGAAGTGAGCTAATAAACTCAAAATTACTCAACGATTCGCTAATCTTTTCAAGTCGAGTTTCTCATAACTCAAACATTTTTTCTCGAATAGGTGATAATACATAATCATATTACTAATATAAACTATAATAATTGAATGTACCACAAAAATAGAATGCTAAATCTTTAATTAGATATAGGGCGACAAATCGCAGGTCCATAGATAATGCAGTTAATCACAAGTCCAAAATTAGTACGATGAACCACAAGGCTAAAAATAGTACTTTCAAACAAATAGATTATCGTATAAAATGTAGAATGACATATAAATTGTTCGAATAATGAATTTATTCATTCATATTCTACTTCATGAGATCTTTACATCGGTATCTCATATGCTCAAAACAGTTAAATGATGAATAAGAAATTGATGTTTAAAGTAGTATACATGTGAATTTTGTTGTGTAAGGAAAATGAAAAATTTGTATCCCACATTGGTAAGATTGTAAGCATTGGAATGGTTTATATACAACAACTAGAGATGAACATTTGTCGGATTTCAAACCGATCCGGATCGGTTTTTATCCGATCCGGTTTTTTCTCATAGAAAAAAAACCGGTTTATAAAATAACCGGTTCGGTTTTTAACCGGTTTGGAGGGCCAGATTCCTAACCGGTGTAACCGGTTTCGGTTTTAAAAAACCGGTTTTTTTAAAAAACCGGTTATAAAAAACCGATTTTAATATTCCAAATTACTCATAGGGAACCGATTCCCCCCCAAGGGGGTACCGATTCCTCACTGAATGGTTTGGCTCCGAGATTTCCAGAATGCTCGGAGGGAACCGATTCCCCCATAGGAGGTACCGATTCCCCCCTATTCAACGGTCGAAATATTTGAATTTTACACTTAGGGAACCGATTCCCTATGAGGGTACCGATTCCCCCACGCTCCAAGCATTTTTATTAAATGTTTTCACACTTAAACGGCTATATTATCTTCATTAATTATCACTAAAGTTCAGAAGTGATTCAAAGTGTATTTAAGCAAGCTTAGAAGCCATTGATCAAAGACAAGAAACATCAAGCAACTAGAATCAAGAGAGAATCAAAGAGAAAGCATCAAACCTCAAGTTCGATAAATTTAAATACTTAATTGAAATACTTAATTAACTCACATAATTGAAATACTTAAATACTTCCAAGTTTGATAAATTCAAATACTTAAAAACTTCCAAGTTCGATAAATTCAAATACTTAAAAACTTCAAGTTCGATAATTGAAACAAAGTTTACGATAATTGAAATAAAGTTATAAAATAAACTACATTGCCATCTCTTCTTCATCATCTTCGCCTTCTTCGTTTGGAGGGGATATTCCAAGTTCGACTTCTTCAATGTGTAAGTTTGCTTCCAAATCGGCATCAATTGCATCTTCTTGGGTGGTGATATGTTGCTTACGAGCCGCTCCATCCAAATAATCCTTTAAACAAATGCATACTTCCACCGACTCGGGACTTAGTCTTGATCTCCGTTGCGATATAACCCTGCCACTAACAGAAAAAGCGGATTCCGAAGCTACCGTAGAAGCTTGGACGGTTAGTAAATCACAGGCCATGGCGGCTAGAATCGGGAATTGTGCTTCCTTTTCTTTCCACCAAGCCAAAATATCCAAACTTTCAAACTCTTCAAATGTCATTTTTGATAGAAAATCGCATGACATATAATTTCCCAACTCGCTACTTGGGGTGGTAGTACGTGATCGTTTGGATTGGGAATTTACAAGAGTGTTAAAAAGATTCAAATTTATGTTACTTGGACGTCTACTAGATGATTCCGCATTCATTCTCATTTGATCGTGTATTACACTACTTGATCCGTATTTATTTAAATAAATTGCAAACATGTCTCGAAAACATTTGTTAAAATAATTTATTTGGTTTTGGACAAAGTTGGGTTCATCATCGGTTAGATTAAAAGCAAACGCAATTTTTTCAATTAGTGTTTCAACCCCACCAACATTTAACGTTGGGTTTAAAGCGGCGGCACAAGTAAAAATGGGGGGAATCTCCTTAAAATATTTTAAAAGTTTTTCCTTCATTGCAAAGCCAATTTCTTGAAAAACTTCGGTTTCAAATTCAAAGTCATTTAGTCGGGTAGCCAACAAAAATATTTGATTAAGAACCAACGGGCTAGTAGGGTAATAAACACCGGATAAAAAAGTTGTTGCATTTTTAAAAACCTCAAGCAAATCGGTTATTTTGGCTATAGTTTCCCAACTCGAATCCGGATAAATGTTTGGGACATGACCCCTCTCGAAAAGCCGATCGTGAAATGTTTGCAATGTTTCCCTTTGCCTTAAGGCAGTATGCATCATCATCTAAGTTGAGTTCAAACGAGTTGGACAATCCAAATTAGGACCCAAAGCTTTTTTATTAACGGACTTACAAAATCGTTTATAATCATTTAGTCTTTTGTTGTTGTTACAAAGAACCGATTTTATCATTGTTTTGAATTCTAATCTAATCGGCTCAATAACCTCCAAACCGGCTTGCACGGATAAATTAATTATGTGTGCAACGCAACGGGTATGAAAAAACGCACCGTCTAAATCGGTGAAAGTAATATTTTCAATCTTGGAACCGCGTTTGTATTATTCGATGCATTATCAAAGGATATAGAAAAAACTTTATTTTCTAATTTATAAAGACAAATTACCCTTTTTAAAAGTGTAAATAAATTAACACCGGTATGCGGCTCACCGAATAATTCAAACGCGATTGTTCTTTTCATCATTTGCCAATTATCTTGATCTAACCAATGTGACGTAACGGCTAAAAAAGAATTTCCGGTATTATGAGGGGAACTCCAAACGTCACATGTAAGCGACACACCATAACGGTGTTCTTGGAATCCTAAAATCATTTTTTCCCTCGCCGTACGCCATATTTTTATAGCATCTTCTAAGGGTAGTACGACTTACTTGAGTATAACGTGGTTGCATTAGTTGTTGAATTGTTGTCGTGAAATCTTCATCATCAAAGTGGTCGAACGGCAATGCTTTTGTAATCACGAACTTTGTAAACGCTTCTCGTAATTTTTCGTTGTCGTAAACAAAAACACCACATTGCGGTGTAAGATTCGATTGACTAGGATCCGATCTTGAGCGAAGTGCCTTGCATGATTTTGTCAAATGGTTCTTCAACGTTGTGTTTCCTTCCGATGCAAGAAACTTTAGACAAAATTTACAACGCGCCCTCCTCGAGCCATTTGACATCTCACATAAATCGTAGTGATCCCAAATGTCTTTGTTTCGAGTGTGTTCGATCACTCTCACGACTTCAAGGTTTCCCCCGACGGAAGATTCAGCCGTGTTACTCATGATGAACAAAAATTACAAAAGTAAGATTTGAGAGATGTTTAAGTGTTGTGTAATAAGATTTGAGGAATTTGTAATCAACCAAATACATCCCCAACCTATTTATACATGTTTAGGGTGGTAAAATGGTAATTTTTTAAAGAAAAAAACGGTCACAAAACCCCCCCAACGGCTATATTAACGGCTAGTTTTTTAAACCCATACCGGTTTTTTTTTTCGGATAAAAACCGGTTTTTTAACCGATTTTTTTCAGACCGATTTTTTATCCGGTAAAAAAACCGGTCTAGGTTTTTTTCTCCAAACTGGTTAAAATAACCGGTTTAAAAAAATCCGATCCGGTTAAAAAAAACCGATTTTTCCCAAAACCGGTTTCGGATATTTTTTTCGGATATTCGGATATTCGAATTTTTTGTGCACCCCTAACAACAACCCACTTATCAATTTTTGAGTGAATTAAGTTGAAATTTTCTTTACTTTTCGTCTTTATAAATAAAACATATGTAAAATGACAAATGAACCAGAAGCATGTACAATTTGTAATTAATATAAATATTTGGATACCAAATATGTATAATGGGAAATATTATACTCTCTAACCCCATTTCAATGAATTTTGACATTTAATTCTCTCTTCTTTTGTAAGAAAAATCTCTGTTAATTACGGTATAATACTTTGCTTCTGATCATATTGGGGTTATTAATCTATGCTTTGCGTGTGACTCTTTGCATCAACACGGTCCTCCGGTGGAAAATCAGCAGCTTTTGAGAAGCTAAACTGTCTGTTTTCTCGATGAAAGTAGTTTCGTCGGCCGATATGTATTTGGATGCTGAATTATTACCAAGACTGAATCTCTTGACCTTTCGTCTTGGACGGAAGTTGGCTACATTGTTAAAAAAGAATTTCGGTAAACACATAGCCGATGTGTTAAGTAACAACCATCATTGGATGTATGTTGAAGATAATTTGCTTACCACACCGATGTGCCATTCATGTCTTTGAAACTCTTGAAATGTCATTGCATCCATTTCCTGCAGTTGCATGACTCAATATCATCAGAAAATCGAATAGAAAGTTTCCGTTTTCGAGAAAAATGTTATTACTCCCTCATGCCTGGACTCCTGCTAATGGAATGCATTTGATCTAATGACAGCCTTTTACTCGGACAGTGTCGATGTTCTTAGGGTTACTATCTATAGAATCTCTAAAGACAAAATGATCGATTAGCTGAAACACAGCCGACATGAATGTCCATTTTCGAAACCATGTAAAAGGCATTTCAATACAAGTCCTCATTTCTGGGACGTAAAAGCATCAGATGTAACTTAAAGCGAAAAGCAAAGCAGAAGCTGAAACTTTACGTGACCCTGGTGAACAAGTAGGCTACTTAGAGCATCAGTGTAAAAAACAGACATATCGACTCCAAGATGGATGTTCCTCCGAATTCAAAGCACAAATAAATGTTTCGTTTATGCGTGAAGTGATGTACAAGCCAATTCAATCATTAATGAAAAGCGTATTAAGGTTTTAAATTGAAGTCGACATGGCAGCTAAAGGCTATCCAGAGAGTATTACCCAGAGCAAAGATCAGTTTTTAAATGGAAAATTAGCTTACTACACGATAGATCGGAGGAACCGCTAAATCCACTTTAGATTTCAACGTTGGCATAACTGAAAACCGTGGTGTTGGTTCTTGTGACCTAAACGTCCACCTGCATATATATAGTACTTTTGATCAACAAAATATACGAGCTCGTTAAGTAAATATTTCCTAGGACTCATGATTGGGTAATTCATACTTACCCAATGAACATAAAGATGCAGAATTGAACCCATTCTCGAACCAATAACCGAAACCAATAATTCTCCAAGGAATCATCGATGTTTATGTATAACTGAAAAAGAAAATGTTAAGCGATCAATATCACTCATAAACTTATACATCTGTCAAAGAAAGAGAAGCTGAGGTCGCCGTATTCATACCATAGCTTCGGCCATTGCAACTATTTGCATAGCACCCTGAATTTCCTGCCCAGTCGAGAACAACGCTTATCTTATGAGATTATTGTCGCTAAATCAATCGATATGAGATTAAAATATTTAAACAAAAAAACATACTTTAACATCCTGTACTTCATATAAACAGCATCACGCATTGGTTGGACATCTTCATCCCCCATAAAGGTCAATTGTTCCCGCAACACTAACAGATTTTGCGATATATGGCGAAAAATTACATAGAAAGAAATCATGTAATTAAGCAGTAAGAGAACCTGTAAAACGGTGCAATAATATTAGTACATCATTTAAAGGATGAAATAAGCCGAAGTTACAGTTGGCTAGCTAGCCGAATTTGTATTATGAAATCAAGAAACTCACTGTGAAATAAGGTACAGATGCTCGGTAGCCAACAAGAGTTAAGTAAAATACACATCCGAGTGCGGCAGTAGTTCGACGCTCTGTCACGGAAAGGCGTTCGCAGGTGATGCAGTATCCATGAGAGATGAGCAAAAAGGAAACGAATGAAACCGTCTGAAAGAGCACTCCAGTTATATACACCCCGAATGACATCCATAGTGAACATAGCTCAAGATAAACACACGAATACCTGCAAGAACGGTCCCTTTGAAATCCGGAGAAAAAAAAAGCTTTTTTTCCACAGAATAAAGAGCAGTCGGAATAAGCAGACATAGCTTAACTTCTTGTAGATAGACATGAAATGCAACATGTGGTAAACAGGCCAGAGGTTCCTGCAGGGTTTCCTTATAGTTCAGAACTACGATCATATTGAACAAGCAAAGACCATTAACTTGTGGATACTTGCCATTGCCTCCACTATATCGTACATATTCGTTTCATCTCTTTCATCTTCACAATCATCCTCACGCCTAAATCTTAACCCTAAATTTATGCTAACCTTACAAACTGAAAATGGTTTGTTTTTGGAGATTCAACATTATGAAGAAGCTATCAATGTTACCCATTTTTAGAAGCTCTTCGCAAGTTAATGGCAAAATCGGAGACACGTGAATTGTACATAAAACCAATGCTCAACAAGCTGATTTCTAACCTTTTTTGTTATTTTTTTTTTCAAAGAAAAACAAGTTAAGTATTGCTGGAAAATCAAAACTTACCAGAAAAGGAAAGATAGCATGAGTTGCAAAGCTTTAATCAATGGTACAGATGCAAGAGTCCATTGTAAATTATTTATCTGCTTCATTATAACCATAAAGAATACAAAACTTCAAACAATGATAAAAATTCTTAAGAGAAATCCAACAATCGGTCATTATTGACCAAATTGAAAATAACTCCAAAAAGAAAAACTGGAATTCTTAGCGGCTGCTTCCTTCTTTCATTTGTATTATATATAAAGCAAACGAAATAAAATGATGAGAATCAAATTACTAACTAAACCCAGATTTTTTATATGAAAAGATGAACAAAATAAATAAAATTTGAGTAAAGATGTCACTTTGATAGAAGCAGTTATTCATCCAATTATGGGATACGGAAAATCATTAAAAAAACATGAATTTTAACAAAGAAAGCAATAAAATTCAATTCTTTTAAGAATATAAAAGTAAAAGAAATAACCTGGAAGTGGCGGTTTTTGAAAGTGTTGAAAGTCCAAGAACAAGCGGAGAAGAACCAGATGGAAAGGAAACCCAAGTAAAGTGCAGGCAAAGGTCGATACGAGTCGTGGAGGCCGAGTCGATTCGACTCACCGATTGAAGAGACATTCATCGTTGAAGGAAAAAAGAAAGCTAGTCTGGGTATTTCTTTATTCGTGTTTTAATTGAGTTTCATTAACATTTACTAATTTGTTGTTCTCGTCGTCTTCGTCTTCGTTGTTCTATGGTTTTAAATTCAGGCCTGGGTTTTAATGTCTGGTTTTTATACTAAGCTAGAATTTTGCATTTTCCTTTTAGTTTTTTTTTTCTCTTGATTTTAGATTTATCTCCCTTCAAATATTCGAACAGACAATTTCTTTAGCCAAATTAATAAATAGTACAAACATATTAAAAATAATAATAACACTGGAAATTTAATTAGTAAAATATAAAAATCAATTTAATATATTCTATTATATCATAAGAAAATTTATGTAATTTAATTTTGAAATTTTATTTTAAATATAACATCAAATAATTATTTCTTTAATAAAAATTCTATTTCAAATAACATTTGTCTTACTTCAAGAAAACACTAATGAATTTATTATTAATTAAATTGGTATCCTAATTTTTAGTTATAAAAATATTATTAACTGAATTTAGTAACGCTTAATTTAAATATATTAATTTAATTTTTTAATAATCTCAAGTGATTATAAAGTAATAGAGTTAATTATACAATTGATCACTTATATTTGTATTTTGTTTACTTTTCCTCACTGATTTTAAAAAACATAATATATAGTGATTTTTCATTTTTATTTAATTAAGATGTAGTTAGCACGAATTAATTGCCTTTAAATATTTTGGTATAATTATATATTTAGTCATTTCTATTTACATATTCTTTCAATTTAATCTTACTTTTAATAAATTAAAATAACTTTAATCCTTCAATCGAATGATACTACGTGTCATTGATACTACGTGTCATTGATACTACGTGTTGTGTCACGTGTCACCACTCGGTTGGAGAACTAATTTTATTTTATTTTTTTGAAAATATATTTTTAAAATATTTTAAAGTTGATATAAGAATAAAATATATTTAATAATTTAAAGTAATAATGTAATATATTAGTAAATTAAAATATATACTTTGAAAAGTTGAAATATTAATAAAATATATTTTTGAAAATTTAGATAATAATAAAATATATATTTCTAAATTTAAATAAAAATAAAATATTTTTAAATTAAATTAATAATAAAAATATTTAATAAGTAAATAAAAAAATATTCTTAAAGTTGATATATACAAAATATTATGAATTTAATTAAGTATTTATATACTAAGATACAAAATATATACATCATGTTGGAGGAAAAAATTTATTTTAATTTATTAAAAATATTATTAAATTAAAATAATACGTAAATATCAAAGACCAAATTGTAATTATACCAAAATATCACTTCAACTCTTCTTTAGGGCAAAGGTGTAGTAAGAATGTAAAGATGATGGGCATTGTTTTTAGGAAATGTAGTTAGTGGTTACAAATCCATGTTATTTCATTCAACAAAACCACCTCTTTCTTTACTATGCTGTAATTCTCAAGTACCAAATCATCAAACATGATTTAATTCTATATATTAATATTATCTTTTTAAAGAAGCATTATGTAAAAATATCGACAATCAATTAATCTATTAAGACGTTAAATCCTTTAAATAAAGATAAGTATTTAGATATCACAATAACAATAAATTCGATTAGAAAAATTATATAAAAAATTCTAAAAATTTATTCTGAAAAATTCCATTTCTATATTAAAATTCATAATCATAATTTCTTCAATAATACTTATATTATCATAGTTAAAGAGAATTTGTAAACAAATCCATTACTTAAAGTGTCTTGTCTGGCAGCAACGTGGAAAGCACCATTTGTTGAACAAACTATAATATTAATAATAAAATTTTGAAATACAAAAAAGCATAACTAGAACACAAAACATATCATTTGTTGAACAAACTCATTGAACTGAAACGTTTCTTTTATTTTCGTTTACGTAAAATTTTATATTAAAGAATTTAAATTTATTATATTTTAAAGAGACATAAATTTATAAACATTTAAAAGATAAAATAAATTATTAATAAAAATATAAAAAAATTATTTAAATTATATGAGAGTTTAAAATTTTCAAAAAAACGACCGAGTACGATCCTCCCTCTACTCCCTAATCCATTAAAGAAAACGAAAGTGTATTGTTTCCATATTTTAGGGTAAAATAGAACATAAGGAGGGATTGTTTAAGTTGAAGAAGGAATTAGTGGAGGGCATATCGGTAGGCAGCCTATAGTTTCAACCACTTCGATACTTAGATGTGATGATAACCCACCCACACCATCAACTAATAATAAATTAAAATTCAAATAAACCCCTTTTATTATTTTTGAAAGACTACAAATTCCATCACCTTCCCTATAAATATCATAACTTTAAATTTTATTTTTAAATGTTCAAAAAAATCTTAAAATTTATTCATATACTTAATTTAAAATATTTAAATTCGATTAAAAAAATATTCAATAAAATTATTAATCTTCGATTATGTGGTATGTGTATTGCCACGTGAATAATATGATATGGACATTATAATGTTCAACTGAACAGTCTAACTAAAGTGTTTCTTGTAAAGAGCTCAATATCATACCGAAACACCTATTTTATTTTTTGTTATAATGTATGTATCGATAAATTATTTCAATATATTTTTCGGATTTTTAGTTATTTTTTAAAATTATTTAATATATATATATTTTAAATGTAGAATAATTATAGATTAAGGAATAAAAATATGAATATTATAATAACTTTTAAAAATATTGAACATATAATATATTAATGAAAATAAATAATATAATTAATTTATAGTAATCTAAATTAATTAATGAATAAATTAATATGATAAGTATTCAACGGCCTAATAATTTTGGACCTGGAAATGTTTAGAGTAATCGAAAGTCAATTATATTTCACAAATAACTTGGGCTGAATTAGATGTGACCCAATATTAAGAAAATATCTAGTATTAATTAATTTTAAAATAAGTCATTTCCCAGGGAAAAAAAACATTAAAGGCATAGATGATGAGTATGAACCAAGTGACATCCGTGGTAAATGAATTATTGTTATTCTTGAGGATCTGGGTTCAAGCACCATAGATGTCAAGGATATAACGTTCAATGTCGAAAGGTTAAGAGTTATCTTTAAACAAATATTGTCTCGTGCTTACCCCAGATTAATAAAAAAACATGAACAATTAATTGGTCACTAAAGTTTCTTAAAAAGTTATAAAATGATAATTAATATTTAGATAAACTATTTATTTAGTCACTTATCTATTCCTACGATTATGTTTTTGTCACTTAACTATTTATTTTTTCAAGTACGTATCCAAGATTTACGTTTCGACCACTTGTCATTAAAAAAATTAACACATATCATCATTAGGTAATATCACATTAACATTAAAAAAACTTCAATGAATAATAGGTTTTGAGATGTATAGGGTTTTTGTTTCACCATAGATGTTGGAAGGATTGTACCCAACATTTTATAGTCAGAATAAGCCAGCTAAAGGTGAAAAATATGAATAATGTGGATTCCATTTCAAGTTCGGTTCAAATCATGAACCAGAAACAAAAACCCTAAACATCTCTAAGCCACATACAGGCAAGCCTAGAGAAATTGAACCCGTCCAAGCTTGTAAACAAACATAATGATGGATCGACACAGATGATGGATCGAAGAAAAACATCAACAGAAAAGGCACAAAGAAGGAAGACTGTAACACTCTAAATTTGATCCGTTATAGGATGAATTTAGTGTGCCACGTTAAGTCATTGAAACGATCTTCACTTAAAAAGTTCTCCCATGATTAAAGCATAATAAATCATTGGTTAATAATAGAATATTACTGTTGGTAAAGCTCTATTATAAATCAAAATAAATTTAAAATAAATAGAGTTACAAACCAAATACACTGTAACCCAATAGACTCGGCTTATACGTCACGACCAGATCTAACGGATTACAATAAAAATTTTCTAAAGACATTCTTCGATAATTTAAAATCCAAAGTATAATTAAACATCTTTAAGAATATAATTAATAGCATCAAAGTTTAAATTAAAGGCGTAAAAATAAAATATTTCTAAATCACTGAGGCAAATCTAACATCGGTAACAAAATAGTATTTTCAAACATAGGCATGTGTCACCCAAATTAAATGCATCTCGGAAGATAAACATTATAACAAAAAGTCACTTTACGAATGTGTAGATCTTCCAAGTGTCAGATACGGGTCGCCTATCCAAAAAGTATCTGAAAGAGAGAAATTTAGAGGAGTGAGCTAGAGAGTTCAGTGTGTTCCAACATTGCAAAAATAAAGCATACAGTTAAGTTTTTAAAATCAGTTCAGATCACAGTTATTAAAATATCAGTAGAGTTTGTAGTTTAAAATTTTAAAATCGCCCTCCAACCGAACACCATATGCAGTTCCCAAAATTGCATAACCTAAGGGAGCATCTTAGGGCCTGAGAGCTTACCCAAGAAAGTTCTCGAGTCCTCATAGCCTACTCAAGAGTCGCCTTAGGTCTATAATGAATTATCTGTTGGTGTTGAACCTATATAAGGAATTACCAGCATCGAAGCTGAACCTGCAGAGTCTTCATACCAGATCCCAGAGTACCCCAAATAAAAACATTTTTCAGATAATAACTAGTGGTAGCAGTAAATCAGAGTTCAGACAGATAATCAATTCAGTAAAATAGTAACCACAAATCATAAGTCAGGCAATCATGCTTTAAATTTCAGCAAATCAAGAATCATGCTTCAAATCAGGTAAATTATACATTAGTCAAACCAGATCAAACATTATATTTCAAATCAGAGAAAACAATCATGTGCACATTATATTTCAAACAGATATTTAAAACAGGTATATGACACATAAGGACACACCTCGCAAAATGGATTAGTCATGTATATATATTGAGTATAGCTTCACTAGGCTCTTCTGCTGAATGGAAACCTAAGTTGTATCAGAGCAGAGTTATAGATCGAAATAATATTCTAAACAAAATATCTATCAGGGTTACAGAACTATACGAGTATTCATGGGCTCTCGCAAATGAACTGATCGGGAGGAATCGGGTCGAGCAGTCGAACGATCAGGAGATCCTCGAGTACCTTAAATATACTATAACA